GGAATTTGGTTTCTGTTTCTGTATTGGACAAATCAGGTTATTCTTGTTCATTTGGAAACAGTCAATTCAGTTTATCTTTTAATTCAAATGTTGTGGGAACCGGTTACTTGAGTATTTATGACAACCTATATTTGCTTGATACAATTGCTTCTTACAATGAATCCTTGCATGTGGAATCACGTGGTACTAAGCGTAAATTAAATAAGGAAAATTCGGCGACATTATGGCATAAGCGCTTAGGTCATATCTCAAAAGGTAGAGTTGAGCGTCTTGTGTCTGATGGCATTTTGGATTCCCTTGATTTTTCGGACTTCGACGTATGTGTTGAATGTATCAAGGGAAAACAGACCAAAGTGAAGAGATTAGGTGCCAACAGATCTTCGGATGTCTTAGAATTGATACATACGGATATTTGTGGGCCATTCCCTACGGAATCCTGGAATGGTCAACAATATTTTATATCATTCATAGACGATTACTCACGTTATGGGCACCTATATCTTATTCATGAAAAATCTGAGTCTCTGGACATGTTCAAAGCCTATAAAGCTGAAGTTGAGAATCAACTCAACAGAAGAATTAAAACCGTCAGATCTGATCGTGGTGGTGAGTACTACGGTAGATATGATGGTTCAGGTGAACAACGTCCAGGACCATTTGCTAGATACCTAGAGGAATGCGGTATCGTCCCACAGTACACTATGCCGGGTTCACCTAGCATGAATGGTGTAGCTGAAAGACGAAACAGGACTCTTAAGGATATGGTAAGAAGTATGATTGCTCATTCTTCTTTACCAGAGTCACTCTGGGGAGAAGCACTTAAGACAGCAGCTTACATTCTGAATAGAGTACCAAGTAAAGCAGTTGCTAAAACACCTTATGAGCTTTGGACTGGTCGAAAGCCCAGTTTAAAGCATTTACATATTTGGGGATGTCCAGCTGAGGCAAGGCCTTATAGGCCAAATGAAAAGAAATTGGACTCCAAAACAGTTAGCAGCTACTTTATTGGGTACCCTGATCGCTCTAGGGGCTATAAGTTTTATGATCCCACTATAAGGAATATTTTTGAGACGGGAACAGCAACATTCTTTGAGGATGTTGAGTTTGGGGGGAGAAATAAGGTTAGAGACATTAGTTTTGAGGAGGAATTGGCTTCAGATCCAATCCATACAGTTACTTTTGACAATATTCAGGTTCCTATACCTGTTGTTGCTCAAGAAGTAAATCCGGAACCTCAAGATGATAATGTTGAACAACTCCCTGTTCCAGAAGAACAAACTCAACAACCTCAAGAACCAGTGCCATTAAGGAGATCCACGAGAGAAAGGAGAAATGCTATTCCGGATGATTATATTGTATTTCTCCAAGAACATGAGGAAAGTAGTGGAATGTTAGAAGATGATCCAATCAACTTCTCTCAGGCCATGAAAAGTTCTAACTCTCAACAGTGGATTGATGCCATGAATGAAGAGTATAAGTCTATGCAAGACAATAAGGTTTGGGAACTTGTCCCATTGCCAGAAGGTGCAAAACCAATTGGTTGTAAATGGATTTTTAAAACCAAGCGGGATGCAAACGGTAATGTGGAGAGGTATAAGGCGCGTCTTGTGGCTAAAGGCTATACTCAAAAGGAAGGCATTGATTATACAGAGACTTTCTCTCCGGTTTCATCGAAAGACTCTTTCAGAATAATCATGGCACTTGTTGCTCATTATGATCTTGAGTTACATCAGATGGATGTTAAGACTGCATTTCTCAATGGAGACATTGATGAGATGATTTATATGGTGCAACCAGAAAACTTTGTGTCAGGAGACCCAAAGAATATGGTTTGCAAATTAAGGAAATCCATCTATGGACTCAAGCAAGCTCCTCGTCAATGGTATCATAAGTTTCAACAAATAGTTATCTCGTTCGGTTTTGAGATGAACATTGTTGATGACTGTGTATATCACAAGTTCAGTGGGAGTAAGTATATTTTTCTGGTTCTGTATGTGGATGACATCTTGCTTGCCACTAATGATATAGGCATGTTGCACGAAACCAAGAGATTTCTATCAAAGAATTTTGAGATGAAAGATCTTGGGGACGCCTCTTTTATATTAGGGATCCAGATACATCGAGATCGCTCTCGGGGTATTCTTGGATTATCACAAAAGAGCTATATCGATAAGGTACTTAAAAGGTTTGGCATGCAAGATTGCAGACCAGGTGACACCCCTGTTGCTAAAGGAGACAAGTTTAGTCTCAATCAGTGCCCTAAAGGTAACCTTGAAATTCAGGAAATGCAGAAGATTCCTTATGCTTCGGCTGTAGGAAGTCTAATGTATGCTCAGGTATGTACGCGTCCGGATATTGCGTACATTGTTGGGATGTTAGGCAGATACTTAAGCAACCCTGGTATGGATCATTGGATAGCAGTCAAAAGGGTTATGAGGTATCTTCAGAAAACAAAAGATTACATGCTCACATACAGAAAATCAGAGAAATTAGAGGTCATTGGGTATTCGGACTCTGATTTTGCTGGATGCCAAGATAGCAGGAAGTCTACATCAGGCTACATTTATATGTTAGCAGGAGGAGCTATATCATGGAAAAGTGTCAAACAAACACTAGTAGCTTCCTCCACTATGGCAGCAGAATTTGTAGCTTGCTATGAGGCATCCAATCAGGGAATATGGCTGCGAAATTTTGTCACGGGACTGCGCATTTTGGAAAATGTTGAAAGACCACTAAGGTTATATTGTGACAATAAATCTGCAGTAATGTATTCCAATAACAACAGGAGCTCAACTAAGTCAAAACATATTGACATTAAGTTCCTGGTTGTGAAAGAAAGGGTACAGAGTGGACAGATATCCATAGAGCACATTGGGACAAACTCCATGATAGCTGATCCTCTTACTAAGGGACTGCCACCTAAGGTCTTTCATGAGCATACTGCTCATATGGGTGTGGTATTATTTGAGGATATTATGTTTTAGTGGGAGTTTGTATTTGTGGTGCTTTATGTTTGGTTGTATTGTCTGATCAGAATAAAGTATTCAGTTAAGACACTCTGTTACATTATGTTTGGTTTTGACCTCACTAAGGAGGACCAGTTGAAAATAGACATGTACTGATCACATTGCATGTAATTTTCATGCTGCACATCCATGATTGATCTATGTCGTTTGATTGTATTGGTATATGTGACCATTGATGGGTCGAGTCACGATAAATGTGACGAAGGCCGCTTTGATCCTATATTGATATAGTCAATGGACGAGATTGTTCGGAAATACCTTTTCAGTGATAGCAATTTTTGAGCTCATAAGGTTATACACAATTTAAGGAATCATATGGTGCCCAAGTGGGAGATTGTTGGATTTAATCTAATAAATCTATTTGTGGGCACATATGATTAATCAATGTGTATTGCTATCTTTCAGGATAACCCACTAAAGTGATCAATTAAGTTGGGTTAATTTGGTATTTAAATAAGTCATGTGGTTATATGTGCAGATACCAGGTTGTAATTGTGATTTATTGAGGGGCTAAATTACAAAAGTACAACATCTATAAATAAGGGGTTATGGTCCCTAACCTAGGGTTACATTCTCTAATTCTCTACACCCCCATCTAGCTAGAGAAATTCGGATTTAGAGAAACCCTAAGGTTAGAAGATCATCAAAAACCCATCTCAAGATTTTATCTATGGATTCAGGTATAAGCTTCCGCTCTTTTGATTTATTGTTAATCTCTTTGAATTAATCATGGCTATATGGTTTTAGATCTCAAGTTTTGATTTAGATCTAACACTAACAGGATGCACTTTATCCATGTTAAATCGCCGGAGCATCTTTGGATGTATGCAGACTGGTGAATTAGTATTCCACAAGCTCGGTGTTCTAGTTCAAGGCCTAGACAGAACCAAGTTTTCCCAAGATCCTTCATCTCAAATTCGGATTTTAAATAGCTCGCGGTTTCTTGTATTTTATTAAGAGTACCTATTATGTTCATATCATCAACATATACAGCTACAATTACAAATCCAAAACATGTTTTGTTTATAAATACGTAGGGGCATAGTTCATCGTTCTTATATCCCTTCCCAATCAAGTAGTAACTCAAATGGGTATACCACATCCGTCTAGATTGTTTCAATCCGTAAAGTGAGCGTTTCAATCTAATTGCAAACGCACTCTGTGGTTTAGAGTCACTCGACTTGGGCAATGGAAGGCCATCAGGCACTTTCATATATATCTCTGAATCAAGACCCCCCATAGAGATATGTTGTAACCACATCCATAAGCTGCATTTCCAATCCTTCGGATGCTACTAAGCTCACTAAGTAGCGGAACATTATAATGTCCATTACTGGAGAGTATGTCTCCTCGTAGTCAATTCCAGGACGTTGTGAGAAACCTTGCGCTACAAGGCGAGCCTTGTATCTCAGGACTTCATTTTTCTCATTACGCTTTCTGACGAAAACACATTTATTTCCTACAGGCTTTACATTTGGTGGGGCTAGCACTATTTGACCAAATACCTGTCTTTTTGCCAGAGAATCAAGTTCTGCCTGGATTGCTTCTTTCCATTCAGGCCAATCTGCTCTTTGTTGACATTCTGCATTAGAGTGTGGTTCGATATCATCGTGCTGATAACGTATTAAAAGAAGAATAGAATTGATTTTTCTTTATTTCATCAGGAATCCCCATTTATATAGAGGGTCAAATATAAGGTTTCATAAATACATGAAGAATACCTAAATTACCCTTCATCAATTACTTTGACGAATGCACACTAATTGTGTTTTCCCTTTAACAAATAGTATATTATTATATCATTATTATATTAATCATGCCCAGAAAGGATTTCATGATAGGGTAATAATGTTAGCGATGCCACAATTTCTATATATTACTTTTGTGCTACCATTTTTTTATTATTTGTTACAGTACAAAAGATTAATTATGCGCTGCTACACCCATAAAACAAATCCAGCCACAATCACCTCCGGTACCCTCACCTCCCTTCCGCAGTCCCCACCTGAGCACGACCCCCAAAAGCAGCGAACGGAAACACGACACAATCCCCCCTTCCTCTGTCCCCGCAATCGGAAACCCCAATTTACTTTTTCAATCTCGATCCATCTCGTCCCTCATCCGACCCCCTCTCTCTTTTTTCGTGGTTGGAGGTATCCGATCCGATTTAATCGGAAAAATTCGGGAGCAGAAGGAGAGCCCTAATTCTCCCAGCTTCGGATCGAGAGGGGAACGATGAACGACGCCGATGTATCGAAGCAGATCCAGCAGATGGTCCGATTCATTCGGCAGGAGGCCGAGGAGAAAGCCAACGAGATCTCTGTCTCTGCTGAAGAGGTTTCTTCTTCTTCTTCTTCTCTCTCTTTTTTTTTTAAACTTGAATTATTTCATGCTTTTATGATCTGAGTCTGGTGTCGTATCGTCAAACTTGGGTTGTGGTGGTTTATTTTAAATTTAAATTTTTTTTTTGTGATTTTTAGGCGATTGATTATGGTCTTTAACGTGGGGTTTGGCCAAAATTGTAGTTTTGGTTTCTTTCTGTTGTAACGAAAATCTGTAATGCTGTTTGTGGAAACCTAAATGGCTTAATCCGTAAATTTTATACCATGTTATGCATGAGGTTACTAGGACACATTAATCATTTGGGACTTGGCAAGCAACCCTTGTGATTGGGAGCCATTTTTCGCACAATTATATGGGGTTGACCATTTTATTTCCCATGAATAGAATAGGGATTTCTTTCCTGCTAATCTTTGACTGTTGGGAAGGCTGAAAGTGAAGAGGCGATGCAAATCCCTGGAATCAATTGTGATCTTGATGCCGTATTCTGAAGTCGTGAAAACTGGATCTTTGCCATTTATGGGTAAAGCTTTGTGCATCTGGTTCCCTTCCTAGACCTTGCAATTGCTGGAACCTCATAAACAGGTTTTGTCAATAGTCCTTGAACTGTATAGAAAAAACCGCCTTTGAGGTCGATGTGTTGATATATAGCTGTTACATATTCCTGATCCATATAAGTCTGTGTGTAGAAGGGCCCTGCCGGAGATACTTTAGGCTTGAGAAAGTATCTATGGAGAAATGCATGCAGGCCTCTTTCCAGAGTGTAGACACTTACTGGGTATCTGAGTTCTGAATTTACAATATAACGACCTGGATCTCCTGTGGGAGATGTAAGATGGGAAAGGCTCAATCTAGGTTCTCAAATAGAGAGCTTGTTGGTTGTGCTAAACCAGGAAAAAAATATTAGGTCCAGGAAGTGTCGCAACGCCTTAGGAAACTTTTCTAGGAGTTATAGGTTGATATAACTTCAGTCTGAAGCAACGTATATATGAAATATGATGGGTACTAAGTCATATATGAAAACATTCACTTGAAAAAAGTCAAAATAAATGAAGGTTATGTAAATATAAGTTTTCTGCCAGAAATTTTGTAGGCCAATCTGAAACTAACAGTGCTTACAACTAAAATATACTTGCTCAATAAGTTGAGTTTTTATATGCTTGTCCAATATGAAAGTAACAGCACAAGGATATTGCAGTTATACCTAAAATGTAAAGAAAAAAATGTAAAAGAGAAAAAAAAACAAAATGTTGATGTAGAAGAAGGATAGCAAGGTTTCAATAAATTCCCTATGTAAGACAATCTTGGGAGATGTGAAGGTCGATGACATTGAGGCCCTTCAAATGATTGAATTTTTTTTCAAGCTTCCACATTCAAGTCAAATTAGCACAAGCCATCATAGTACATCTTGGAATTAACAATTTGATGAGATTGAGACCCTACAAATGGTTAAATAAAATCCTTAAATTAGGCCTTATACGGTCAAGGGAAAGTACCTCTTGGAGCTGCCCATAGAAGTCAGTGAGAAGTAGAGGTTGCTTCAAATGGAGCTGATTCTGATCCCCACAAGCCAGTTAAAGAGACTTTTTCACTAAATAGCCAGTAAAGAGTTAAAAAGTCATTAAACATAAAAGATATGTCAAATGACAACTTAGAAAATGACATTTCTTTAGAAAGTTCGTTTTATTAATGTTTATTTGTTTGATTATTTAGTAATGGACAAAAATATTTTGTCATGGAATAATGAAGGGATTTTTGGATTACCATGATTTCATGAAAAATAGATGCTAAAATATGAAATAAGACCATATTTGTCCCGACAGTTTTGAAATTAAGTATTTATCCAAAAAATTCGTAAGATTACTAATGGTACTTATTCGATCATTATGACATTAAACTAGTTTAGTGCCCATGCCGAGCATGGGCTACCATTTTGTGATCTGCTGGTGTGTGTATGTATGTTCTTGTGCTATTGCAAATGTTATCATGTTCATATTAGTGAATTTTGCATTTGTAAATTCAGTTATGTGGTATCTAAGATATTGGACTTTTTTATTCCAGTGAATAACATGGAAAGCTCTGTTGTATCTTTATCTTTCAATTAAACTAGTAAAGATATGTTATTCTTTCACTGCAACTGAGGTTTTTAGGGGTTCCACTGATCTTTAGTTTTTCTAGAATGTTTTCTTGTGGATGTATGGAAAATTATGCTCCTTGATTTTGAAATGAATATAGAATTGAAGTATGTCATATGCAAGCTTTTGCTTAGTGTCCTCACTTGGTTGTATCTAATACATGTTTTTTTGGCGTTCAGGAATTTAACATAGAAAAACTACAGCTTGTTGAAGCTGAAAAAAGGAAAATCCGTCAAGAATACGAGCGGAAGGAAAAGCAGGTTGATGTCCGTAGAAAAATGTACGTACTCAATTATTCCGAGTGAAACTATTGCATATTTCTAGCCATCTGATTTTAAGTGGAAGCATTTAATGCTATTTCATTTTTTAACTGTATCAATAGCATGCTTCCTCAACGTCTTCTTTATATTGTAGCTGGTGTGTACTGTTAATTAAAAGAAGATGCATTTTACGCATTGAGGGATCAATGTGCTCTTGCCGTGTTTCCAATAAAAGTTTATATTATTAATTCACTCTGAATGTGCACATTGCTTAGCAAACTTATATAACAAGCAATGAAGTTATAGACTTATAGTTCTCATCATATTGCATCATCTTCTTTTGTCTCTTTTTACAGCGCCTGATGTTACCATATTCAATGTGAACTTGAGTTTGCAGAAGGGGTATTGATATGTAGTACACTGACAGTTGTTAGAAAACGAGCATATGGTCTATTAAGTTATTAACTGTCAACAATGATATGTGTTATACATATATTCACTAGAATAGGCTTATTTCTTGTGTTTCTGGGATGTTTTTTTAATCAAATATTTTGGAAGTTCCCTCATCTCCCTTAATAGGGGAGAAGTTCCTCTGAAGAGAGAGGCTACCTGGTGAACCAGTGACCTTTGCCATCATAAGTAACTTTATCTATCAACTAATGCTGGCTGCTCTCTTTTAATGGTGGTGTGGCCTATTTTGTTATATTACCTTTGTTTATTAGCATGTTTCCTCATTTATGATTGTGTGGTCTCTTTACAGTGAATACTCCATGCAGTTAAATGCATCACGTATCAAAGTTTTGCAAGCCCAAGATGATTTGGTGAATTCCATGAAAGAGTCTGCTAGCAAGGAGCTTCTACGAGTTTCTGAGAATTCTAGTGCTTACCAGAAACTTCTAAAGGACTTGATTGTTCAGGTATAATGCAGCCAACTTCTATTCATGCAATATCAACTTAGAACTGGAGTTTTTATAAGAATTTCTTGCCTGCAAAGGCGAATATGCATCATAAGTTGCACGTCTTTTCAATTTAAGTGACATGTCTGGAATTTGAGCAGTTCTGTTTATTGTGCCACGAGATTCCATATTTTCAATTTGCAATTATCTTGTAAAGCAGTAATGATCTGGTTTGTGTCTTCATTGTGGTGAAATTGTCTTGTCTGTAGTCTATACTACATCGGCAAAGCCTTTATCCTAAAATTTTGGATTCAGCTACATGAATCCTATTCTTCCACTCGGTTAATTCCTTCTTTAAAAATTACATGTCATCAGGCTGTTGCTGCAACTCTGAGCATTAATGTTTGTATTATTTTTGGGATAAAGGTTAAAGTGACTTCATGCTGGCATGCTGCAATGTCTTTATTTTGCTTCAGCAAGGAAAGCTTCTCTGAATATGATATATCCATCTACAGCTCTTCATTTGCCGAGAGAGCTAGCCTTCTCTCTATCTGACCAATCCAGTTTAAGCCTTCAAAGTGTATCTGTGAATGCTTACCTCTTCAATGATTCAAACTAATAATAACTTTTAATACGCTGAAGTTAGCTGTACTGGAGTGCGTCCCTACGTAATATGGTGGTAGTAGAATATACTTACACAGGTAGGGTGGTCGAAACAATCGTTGATATTTAGAGTGAAACAACTACTCAGGTGATCCTTGAATTAAATATCTGACCGCTATTTTCATAATAACTACTCAGTAGAATATACTTCAATGTTTTCTCTTGCTTCAAGAAAATTAAGGTCTGAATTTTGTTGTTCCTAACTGTATCACCTTTACCTACTTCATTAAATATTGTTTGTGATGTCAGGTTGATATTTAGTGATTGAATCCTTTTTTCTTTGCAATCAGAGTTTACTGCGACTGAAAGAGCCATCTCTACTGCTGCGCTGTAGAGAGATGGACAGTGAACTGGTAAATTCAATCTTGGATGCTGCGAAACAAGAATATGCGGAGAAAGCTAAAGTTCATCCTCCTAAAGTTACTGTTGATGAGCGCGTGTATCTTCCACCGCCTCCAGCTGGTCGTGAAGCCCATGGTCTTTCTTGGTAATCTCTTGACTTGTGATAACATTTGCAATTGCCTTATATATCTTCAATTTATTTCAACTTGATGCTTTGAGTGCACAGGTTCAACATTGTACGGGTAGTAAACTAAGTACGTCATTGTGCTATGCTCGTCTGATAGTTTTGTATATCATTAGTTATTGGTTGGCTGAGTGACCTGAGTCACAATGTAAACCTAACTTTTATTGTTAACCCTGCCAAAGTAAGACTTTTCACATTTGCACAGGAATTTTAGCCTCAGATACAGAGTGCTGTCAGCTGCCATGATTCTGTCCTTGCACGTGAGGAACTTTGTTTTCTTTTTTCTTTTCCCGAAGATCCCTATAATCTCAAGCTTCTGTTGAATTTCAATGCATCTTTGGAATGTGTAGTTAAATGTCTCATTTTTTAGATGGTTTATGATTCTCTGTTATTGCCAAACCAAATATTGTTGTAAACGTAGCTTAAGGACTGTAGGGTGTATTAAATCAATTATTATGACTTATGATATCATTTAATTGTTAAACTATTATGTTTCTGTAGTCACATGTCATGCGTCAACCTATGAATAGTAAGTTGCTAACTTTTGGGATAAAGGTATTCATAACTTTTTGCTGTTGTGATTGATCTAAGTTCAATTGATAAGTCTATATTAGATTACCCATTGCATGGTCGTAAATCATTTTATTCATCTTGTTTGGAGTTTATAATTTATCAGTCTTTGATCACTCTTACTATTTCTTTTTACATGTAATTGCCATGGTGTTCTGCCCCCTTCGACAGTGGCCTTATCAATAAATCATTTCATATATAAACAATATTCTCTTCTTTTCTAGTTAATGGATTTTAAATGAGTAATATCCCTGTGTTTTGATTTTTACAACAGCTCTGGAGGTGTGGTATTGGCTTCACAAGACGGGAAAATAGTCTGTGAGAACACATTGGATGCCAGACTGGAGCTTGTCTTTAGACAGAAATTACCAGAGGTATGTCCTTAATTAGTTACCCTTTTGCCACAACCCTTTTTTGAGAAAATTTATTACTCAACTCCTCAAAATCTATATTCCACTTTTCCCTCCTAAACAAGATTGTTTAGTTTTGATCTAAGTTTAAAAATCAGCTGTTTCCAAAATGTTTTGAGTAACCCAGCTTAGAACCTATGGTTTCGCTCTAAACTCACAGAAGCGACAAGTTCAAATCAGTGTTTACCTAACTCATTTACCCGTTGAAGATACGATTCGTTGTGTGTTCTCGTTCTGGTTGTCCAAAATTAGCAGTAGACGAAAAGTAAAGAACTTTTGGATAATTTTTTCAATTAGATTCTTGTTGTATTTAGCACTAGTACGTAGACTTAATTCACAGTTCTTTGAGACTTGCACTAACTTTTAAAATCAGAGTTAAACTTTGAATATCTAATGTATTGTTATATTAAAAGTTTCATGGCCAGGAGGTTTAGTCTAGGAACTGGGCCCATTTGAGATAAATAAAATAATATTGTTCTTAGGGGCTGTTTGTTTGCGATTTGGGTAGGGGGAAAGCCTGCCAAAAGTTGCACTTTTGGCAGGGTTTTGGCAGGCTTTCCAGCCCTTTTCCCCCTAAAAAACCTCTTTCCAAACAGCCCCTTACAGTTGCTCTTGTACGTCAAAGGGGTTTGGGACTAGCAACTAGGCCTGTTCAAGACATTTTGACTTAAGGAACCTGTTAATGCTATCCTTACATCTTTTTTATAACCTCTTAAATGATGCCTTTTATTTATTTATTTGTCTATTTTGACACTAAGTAATTCACGTAACGATGCGGTTTCCTTGTTTCTTTATTTAATTATGAAATTATCATATAGTCATACTCTATAAATTGAAGGTATATCAATATTTCAAAGGAAAAAAAAATGAAAGTAAGCAAGTGGATTTTATCATAATGTATATCAAAGGTCATATATTATAAATTAGTAATGAATAGTTTTTTCTTTCATGATAAGTACATATAAATAGGATTCATAAAAGCAGATAGAAACTGGGAAGATGAATACAAAAAATCTTCATAATAATGTCACGATAATAACTTCAACCTCACTAAAAAATAACTGGGGTTTGAAATATCTAAAGATCAATTTATACTACGAGCAAATAACAAAAAACAACTAAGGTCTTAAAGAATAAAAAATCGCAAATAACTATTATTAGATGTATGATAGAATTAAGAAGTTAATAAAAACTTGCATAAAACTTCAAATATATGAATTGTACACGTTCAAAATATAACCTTTGTGGAAAAAAAATCAACCAAAAAAATTAAATGAGAATTCTTAAACATGTGGTTCTAAAGACGATTTCCGTTAGAGCATTACCTTAACTTCATTAACTTGCATTATTAATTCCAGTAGCATGGCTATTTGGGAATTTATGGTGCATCAGCTATTCTGTCACTTAAAAGTCTAAACAACCTTAATATTAACTTCTACTGAAAAACCTGTCAAATGGTTGGCAGTTGTTTTTGTGATTCGTAGAATTTTATAAAATATTATCTGAAAAAAGTCTTTAACTCATTAGCCGAACCTAAAATAGCTGCTCAATACCAACACCAATTTCGAAATCTTTAACCCTGGTTCTGATTACACCCAGTTTGAATCTCCATACTTACAGTTTCTCTCTTTGGAAAGGGCTCCATGCTATTATGAGCATGATTCTAATCTTTACTTTATACTTTGCAGATACGGAAGCGCCTCTTCGGAAAGATGGATATCTGAGTTTCATGGACCTTTTAATTTCTTGATCCGCAAAAGTTCCTTTTCGATAATAAGAGACATTTCTACCATCTTGAGAATTACGTAGTTTGGATAACCAGTCCCTTTATTATCATTGAGATGATCTAGCAAATGATCAAAGTTGTGTATTTTTCTTCAGTTACAAAACATGTATCATTTTCTGACGTCTGTGTCCTTAGCCTGCTGGAGAGATTGGCGACGAAGGTTTTTATAATAATGCGAGGTCTGTGTGCAAGTCCTAGGTTCACTTGTGCTTATGTCTTGCCTTTTGTGCATGTTTTTTGGAATAGGAGTTCTTATATGTTAAAGGGCCTTTTGCTGAAATGTAACCAAAAGTACAATTTGTGGAATGGAGATCTTTGAGAGGTCGGTATTGTATCGTATCATGTTGGCATTGCCTAGTGTTTGCTCAGCTTGGAGTAGTGGGTTTTTTCGTGGTATCCACTCTTCTATCTTACCAGTGAGTAAGATTTCACTGAGCTCTAAAATTTTCGTTGCAAAGGAAGGTGGTAAATCGAAGGGCTAATTGCGCACAGACCCCCTCCCTGTATTATCACTGTTTAGAACTTAACACCCTTGTAAGTTTCATTGTTGTTGCATTAGCTCCCCACCCCCACCCCCCACCAAGCGGGCAAAAGAACGACGAGCCTCTAAATTCCTAAATTCTTCTCATTCTGTACCCTTGGTGAAAACATTGGCTGATATTTCCCATGAGCGAAATTAGTGAGTATGTTTCACGGTGAAGCATAACAAAAATTCCAGGGATCTAACAGCAATAATGAAATTGCGGGATAGTAACTTAGTATGCTCAAAACAGAGATTCGACAGAAGGCCTTTGTGCTTCAAAAAATAAATCTCTCGGGTTTATCCGCAACAATGAAACTACAGTTATAGTCCGCTCAAAACGACGATCCATCGTCGGTTCAGAATAACGGTTCAACAGGGGGTCTATGTGCAATTAACCGCGAATTAACCATTTTTGTGCGAGCCCAAACCCAATGGTCCAACAGAAATGGGCCTTTCACACCTATAGGCAAATCTGTGGCCCATTAGAGGCCCGCAAACCCAATCCGGGGTCAAACCTAGGGTTTTAGCAGCCTCTCTATAAAAAGGGGTCTCGCTCTCTGCTCACGCCCCTCCGCCGCCGCTTCATCAACAATGGGCCGAAGTAAAGATTTCTCGATCTCCTACCATTTCGATTTTTCTCTTTTCTAGAATTTATCTAATTTGGTTCTATTCAGATCTAATCTTTTAGCATTACCCCCCTATTTTCATCGTTACTTTGTTAGAAATTTTGTTGATTTTTTATCGCAATGGTGAAGATTGAAATGCCATCTCGTAATTTTGGAGAAGTGAGCTCTGATGTTTTTGGTGCAAGATCTGTCAAATGAATTCTATTAAAGTTGCCACCTTTGTAGGTTAAACTTGAAGCCGGGATACAAAATTTACCTTCTTTTCACAGTTTTTAATTTTAATGCATAAATCAAATATCAATTTTCTTTTATATTGCCACCATTTCTGTTATATACATTTTTGGTTTACCAGCGATGGTAAATATGGCGTTGGGGGGTATAGAATAAGGATTTTCTTTTTCCATTTTTGTGTACTTCGCGAATGAATCCAGCTTGCAAAATCAAATTTCATTAGGTTAAGCATTTGAGAAGAGGATTGCTGGTTGTCTGACTTCTAGGTTCCATTAGCTTTACTTCGGTATAAGTTCAAGCCAAGTATTGGAAATTTCACTGACATGCTAATCTATTTCATTAGCAACTGTGCGACATAATTTTACTGGATCGTGTTTCATTCCTAGATCCCATTTGTGCAAGAAATCTGTGTTTAGTCTCGATGCTCCATGTTGCTGTTGGTTTGCCATGTCCTAATGTGAAATGACATCAACATACCTAAGTATTTAAGGTCTATTGGAAACTGGCTGAGCAGTCTTTTCTATGTAGTAGTTTATTTCTTTTATTTTATTTTTATTACTTGTTTTTGTATATTTAAAGTTTGGGAAATTTGCTTTGAAAGAGCTGAACCTATAATTTTGTTCACCCACACACCTTGCCAAAAGTCAAATGCCCGAAACCCCTAATGCCCCATGAATTGTTCCTTCACCCCCAAGAACTATTATACAACTCATCATCCTTTTTTCTCTTTCCTTGTAACTAATAGCACTACCAGTTGTACTAGGTATTAAATTTTCTGTGAAATGACAAATCATGCCATTAGGCTTGTATTGGGTCACATTGACGTTAGGCCGGATCTGCTGCGAGTCATTAGAGAATTAGGCACTAGGGTCTTGAACTTGTCCTGTCTTTGTTATATCTTAATTAAGATGATAAGAGATCTGTGGCAAGTCTAGGGAGGTTGTGGTTAACTAGAGGTTTGATACCGATTAATCTTGAGAGGTTGTATTGAGGTGGGTTGAATAGGGTTGGTTGAATAGGGTTGGATTAGTGAGGAGTGAGAGGTCGAGGAACTTGACGCGAGACTGTGAGTCTCTGTTGATTCCCATGCAGAGAAGTCTTTCTTTTCTTTCCACTTCTTTGAAGTGAAAAAGGTCAGCAGAGTTAAAAGTGTGGCTCCATGACCGATTCCTTTTTTGGGTGATGGAAGGAGATAGATAAGATGAAAGGAGTAGGAAAAGAGGATGACAAAAGGGTAATAAAGGGAGAGAAAAAGGATTCTTGAGTTGTAAAATAGTTTTTCTTGGGTTTGATTTTTTGTGTGTTTTGTTTTTTTTTTGTTTTTTTTGGTTGGTTGGGGGGGGGGGGGGTGGAACCAATTCTTTCAGTGTTAAGAGGTTGTGTATTTGACTTCTTGCAAGGGGTGTGGTTGCACAAAATTCTGACTTCAGCTCTTTGGAAGCAATGTTCCTTTAAAAGTTTTCTTTTGTGCTTTAATGATAAGAGGCTATTAAGATGCACTCAGCTTTTTTGATTCATGGTAGTTAGTCAGCACGGAGGAGGACATTTTTTCCTGTTAAGCTAGATGGAAACTTGTGGTATGGAGTGGATGCAATTTGTCATTTTAAGAGTGATAATATTGTAGTTCAAATAACTTGAACTTGGGATATGACTGTTCTTTCTGGTTCATTATGAAGAAATTAGTGGCTTACTGTTTACACGTTATGATGGGCTTTTAGGATTTTATAGGTTAGCAGGGTAGGTCAAAACTATATCATGTTTCATGTATGATAGTTCTAATGTTGAGGATAACATGTAAGATACCTAATGAACGACGTTTTGAGTGACTTGTACTTGCAAATGATGTAATTATGACAACAGATGTGTTATCTACCTTTGTATATATGCTTCCTCTTAGTATGCTTAACTTGTGTAGCAAATCACAATTACTTCTTGTCTGAAACTCAACAACTAACATTTCTGTTTAGTCCGTTAATGCATCTTTGTCTCACAAGAACTAAATTTGCCTTATACATTTACTTGCAGGACCAGCAAGATGCTATCGGCAGATCAAG